TGTCCAGCTCTCAGATCCATAGCAAGTGATTAAAAAGATCCTAGCCTGAATCAGATGCATTTTAGACCTTAAACCGACATCATTTGTTGTTGTTAGGTGCTGTTGAGTCAAGGATGACTCATAGTGACCCTATGAGTGAAAGATCTGAACTCTGTTCCATCCTGCACCATCCTCACACTTCCTGACACACAAGATTCCATTGCAGCAGTCATCGTATCAGTCCTCCTGGTTGAAGGTCTTCCTCTCCCTCGCCAACCGTCAGCCCTCCCCAACATCATGTCTTTCTCCAAGAATTAGCACCTTCTTCCACCATGTCCAAAGTATGTGAGGCGAAGCCTCATCTGTCTTGCCTCCAAAGAGTACTCTGGCTGCCTCATCTCCAAAACATACCTATTCGTTCTTTTGCCAATTCATGGGATGTCCAGTGCTGTTCTCCAACAGCACAGAAAAAAAAAAAGAATTCGTTTTATGTCATCTTTATTCATTGTCAAGGTCTCAAATGCATAACTAGTAATTAGAAAGACTATGTATGGCTTGAACCAGATGTACCTTAGTCTTCAAACTGACATCACTATTCCTCAGTAATTTGGAAAGGTCCCTAAGTGCATTGCGTCTCCTTATTTCCTGACTGCTCATACCAAGGGTGTTAATTGTGGATCAAGCAAGATGAAGCTGTTGACAGTTTCAATCTCCTCTCCATCCATCATGACACTGCCTATCCATCTAGTGGTAAGAATCTTCATTTTCAAGGCAGCATTCCTTGATCTTGTGCAACAAGTGCTTCAAGCCCTCCTCACTTTCAACAAACAAGGTTGTGTCATCTGTATAACACAAATTATGATGAGTCTCCCTCCAATCCTGATGCCACACTCCTCCTCCTAGAGTCCAGCTTCTTGGTAAATTTGCTCAGCATACAAATTGAATAGGTACGGTGAGAGAATGCAACCCTTATACACTCCCTTCCCAGTTCCAGACCATGCAGTTCTTCCCTGCTCCATTCACACAACAGTCTCCTGCTCCAGGTATAGGTTCTGCATGAGCACAATCAAGTGGGATTCCCATTCTTCTCAGTGTCAGCCACTACTTGTCATGATCCGCACAGTGAAATGTCTTTCCCTAGCTATGTACTGTTCTAGCCAATTTTGAATTATCTTCAGCAATATTTTGCTTGCACATGATATTAATATTATTTGATAGTTTCCACATTCAGTTGGGTCACGTTCCTTGGGAATAGAAACAAATATGGACCTCTTCCAATCTGTTGGCCAGATAGCTCTCCTCCAAATTACCTGGCATAGACTGGTGAGTGCATCCAAGGCATCATTACTCTTCAACAATTTGGAGAGGTCCCTGACTATGGACTTTCCCAGTGCAATATGTCACCTTATCTCCTGTCTTCTGGTACCGAGTGTATTGATTGTGGATATGAGTAGGATGAAGTTGTTGAGTCTCAGACTTTCTCCGTCCATCATGGTGTTGCTTGTCTGTCCAGTGGCGAAGATTTTTGTTTTCTTGACATTGAGATGCAATCCATTCTGAAGGCTACAGTTGTTTTAACCTTCCACATCAAGCTCTTCATTTCCTCCTCACTTTCAGCAAGCGAGGTTGTGTCATCCATATAACAAGTGTTATTAATGAGTCTTCCTCAAATCGTGATGTCACATTTTTATTAATAGAGCCCAGCTTCTTAAATTTTTTTTTCTCAGCATACAGATTAAGTAGGTAAGGAGAAAGGATACAACCCAGACACTTACCTTTCCTAGTTTTAAACCTTTTAGCGTTTCTTTGCTCTGTTTGATATTTCCCCCATTCTGTTAGATCACTTTTCTTGGGATAAGGATGGGTATCTCTATTAGGATATCCATTAGGATAAGTACCTCTTCTAGTCAGTTGGGCATAAATTTCCTAGTTTCTTGGCATACACTTGTGAGCATATCCAGGGATGCCTCTGTTAGTTGAAATACATCAATTGATATTCCATTGATTCCTGGAGTCTTATATTTTTGCCAGTGCTTCCAGTGCACCCTGAACTTCTTCCTGCATTACCAATGGTTCTTGTTCACATGGTAATTCTTTAAATTGTCCCAGGTCAACCAATTCTTTTTGGTACAGTGACTCTGTGTCCTTCCGTCTTCCTTTTCATATTTTTGGATCGTTCAAGATTTTAACCTTATCATCTCTCAGTATTGCAGTTCACAGCTTGAATTTGGTCTCAGTTCTTTCAACTTGAGAAATACCAAGTGAGTTCTTCCCTTTCTAATCTCCAGCTCCAGTTCTTTGAACATTTCATTATAATTCTTCTCTTTGTATTCTCAAGCTGCCTTTCGAAATCTCTACATTCTGACTTCTGGGTTTCTCCTTTTTGTTTTGGCTTCTTGCTGCTCTTCAACATTTTCAGATCTCTTCTGTCATCCATTTTGGTTTTTCTTCCTTTGTTAAAAATCTTCTGGTCTCTTCATGGATTATGTATTTGACATCATATCCTATAAGCTATCTTGTCTCTTTGATCATTAATGTTCAATGCCTCAAAACTATTCTGGAGACGATTTTTAAATTCACATGGTATTCACTCAGGCTCATATTTTGGTTCTTGTGGGGTAGCTTTTAATTTTTTCAACTTCAGTTTGAGCTTTCACATGAGTAATAGTAACTGTGTGTTGTTGTTGTGTACCTTAGAGTCAGAAATGAACCATAATTGACCATCTGGTGGGTTTTCAGAGGCTGTTAATCACATGGGAGGAAATTGTCCATCTCTTTCCTGTGGAGTGGCTGGTGGCCCCAAACTGTGTGCCTTTGGGATTGCAACACAGCTTCTTGCCACTAGGCCAATAGAGCTCCCTAGTCTATGCTGCTGCTCTTGTTGTTATGTGCTGTTGAGTCACCTGCTCTGAATCTACCCTATTCTGAGCCAATCTCATTGTCTCTGACAGACCTAATCCCATTTCTCTAGTCACTGTGTCAATCCATTTCATCTTGAGTCTTCCTCTCCTGCAGTGTCCCTCCATCCTTCAAGCATGAAGTCCTTCTCCATGAACTGGTCCCTCCTGACCACATGCCCAAAGTATATGAGATGAAGCTTCAAAATCCTTGCCTCCAGGGAGCAGCATGGTTTCATCATCTCTAGGTTATACCTGTTTGTTTCTTGGCAGTTTATGGTACGTTCAACATTCTTCTCCAACATAACTCAAAATCACTGATTCTTCTATCAGGCTGAGTTATTGTTCAGCTCTCTGATGCATAGCAAGCAGTTATGAAGACCATGGCCTGAATCAGTTACATCTTAATCTTTAGACTGACATCATTGCTTTTTAGTTCTCTGGAGAGGTCCATGACAGCAAACTTTCCCAATGCAGTTTGTCTTTTGATTTCCTGCCTGCTTGTGGCAAGAGTGTTAATTGTGGAACCAAACAAACTGAGGCTGTTAATGATCTCAATCTCTTCTCCATCTATCATGAATCTGACAATCAGTCCAGTGATGAAAATATTTTTTCTTGATGTTGAACTTCAATCCATATTGAAGTCTACAGTCTTTGACCTTCTGCAACAAACACTCATGTCTTCTTCAGTTTCAACAAGCAAGGTTGTGTCCTGTGCATAACGCATGTTGTTGATGAATCTTTCTCCAATCCTGATGCCACATTCATCCTTATAAGGTCCAGCATCCTGAATTATCTATTCTGCATATAGATTGAAAAAGTATAGAAATAGGATGCATCCCTGATGCACACCTTTGCTAATCCTGAACCATGCAGTGTTTCCGTATTGTCTTCTAATGACTACTACTTCCTGGTTCAAGTATAGGTTTTGCATGAGCACAATTAAGTGCTCTGGGATTCCCATTTTCCTCAAGGTTAAACACAATTTGTTGTGATCCACCTAATTAAATGTAGTAGGCTATTACTGAAAATGAGAAAGGGAGCATATGGAAACGCTTGCTTCAACATACCTAAATATTCTTTGGAAAACAGAATGAATATTGTTGGTTGCCTTTGGAAAGAGGGACTGAGTGCTCTATTATGACAGAAAGATTTATTGTTTAAAGCTTATCTTTAATTTTGTTGTTTTTTTTAAAATTTTATTTTATACTGGTTTGCTTACAAAGTTTGTATAGGTTGTTTCACACTGGATCTTTGATTTACCCATCCTTTACCTCCACTCATCAAATTATGCAACTCTATGATTTCATTTTGGACCAAGTAGATGTATTGCTTTAAAAAAAATTAAGTTCTAAAACATTTTTAATAGAAATTAATATTAAAATAACTGATTAAATTTAGAGTTGTCTACACTTCAAGGAATTTTCCCTATTATAGGAGAACTTCTCAAATTGAGCTTTCCCAGATCCAAATTAGAAATAAAATTTTAAATATTTATTAAAACAGCATTAGGTTACTAAGTTATAAATAAAGTATTCCACTGGTTAAATACATCACGTTGTTTATCTGTTCTTTTGATGCACATTTGGATTGTCTTTTGCTTTTGAAAATTATGAATGTATCTGGTATGATATTTTTGTTTAAGACTTTAAGTAAATTAATTTATGTTGAGCATACATCCAGTAATGGAATTTTTCAATTTGAGTATAGAAAACCTATCATTAAAATGTAAATGTGTGTATGTGAATATCAGTCATCACTGGTATGTTAAATGCCTATGATAATATATCGTCGTGATCATTGATGTTACACACATCCACATTCCTGATGACATCTTCCACAGTATTTACTGGCATATAGAAAAAGTGTTAGACTGTATGAGATTTAAGGTGTTTTCCAGGCCTAAATTAAACTGTGCCAGGATTATTATATAAATGTTAGAACATAAAGAAAACCTCTTTGGTCTTATTGACAGTATATTCTAATACAGAGCTTTCAGTGGACATCTCAAAGTGTTTTATAGCCTAAAACCCAACTCACATTTTCAAACTTAAAAGTTATTTTTTCATATCTTTTAATTACTTGTAAGCTTGAAATGATGATATTTCTAATCTATTTTTAAAGGACCTTTTAATGAGGCTGCAAGCAAAAATAAACAGATGCTACCCGGGGGATCCAAACAAATGTCAGATCTCCAGCCAGGTTATTTTGAGCCCCATTTTGCAAGGATTTTTGAAGGTGAAGGTTATGTTAATCTGAATCAAGTGAGACGTCGTCATATGATGGAAGAAGCCAAAAAAAATCTCGGCAAAGCCTTCCTTCCTAGTAGTGGAGAGAAAAAGCCGTGAGTGTTCAGGTGGGAGGTGGGGGTGGGTGCAGGGGAGGGAATTTACTGAAACAAATTTCCTATCACTCTTGTAGCCTAAATGCAATGTTGTTTTTGTTTTTTGGTTTGTTTTATTTGGATAGGGTTTACTTTGGTAAGTTTAGGTTTTTTTTTTTTTTTAATTTTCTACTAGTTTATTTACAAAATTCAAATACATTGTTTTCAAGAACAAATTCTTTCAGTTTTCCTTACCCTGGCATCAAATTGTACAACCTATGATTAAATCCCTACCACCCCCCTGCGCATGTGATTTTTAGAATAGTTTGTTGCACACAGAGCTATATTGGATGATTTCAAATGAGCTCATTTTGGCTAAGTTTTCATTTGTTGTTGTTTTTGTGAGCCATCCAGTTATTTGCAACTCCTAGTGACCCTACATGTAGAACAGCTCTGAACCCTGCTCTATCTGGAGCCAACATTATTGTCCCTGAGACACCTACTCCAATTACCCCAGTCACTGAGTCAATCCATTTCATCAGGGGTCTTCCTCTCTTGAGCTGTCTCTCCACCCTTCCAAGCATGATGTCCCTCACCAAGGACTGGTCCCTCCTTGCAATATGTCCAAAGTATGTTAGATGAAGCTTCAGAATCCTTGCCTCCAAAGAGCAGTTTCACCCTCCCCAGGATGAGCCTGTTTGTTCTTCTAGAGTATGGTATATTCCATACTCTTCTCCAACACCACAGCTCAAAGGCATCAATTCTCCTATCATCTCTAGTTATTGTCTCACTTTCTGATGCATAACAAGTAATTACGAAGACTATGGCCTGGATCAGGTGCACCTTAGTCTCTGGACGGACATCATTGTTTTTCAGTGCTCTGGAGAGGTCCCTGATAGCAGACTTTCCCCAATGCAATTTGTCTTTTGATTTCTTGAATGCTGGTACCAAGAGTGTTATTTGTGAAAGCAAGCAAACTGAAGTTGTTAACCATTGTATCTCTTCACCATCAATGATGATGCTACCAATTAGACTAGTGGTCAGAATTTTTGTTTTCTTGATATAGAGCTTCAATCCATATTGAAGGCTGCAGCCCTTGACATTCTGCAGCAAGAGCCTCAGGTCCTTCTCAGTTTCAGCAAGCAGGGTTGTGTCATCTGCATAACACAGGTTATTGAGGAGTCTTTCTCCAATACTGATGCCACATTCCTCCTCATAGAGCCCAGCTTCCCAGATGATTTGTTCCACATATAGATTGAAAAATTATGGAGATAGGACACCTCTCTGGCATACACCCTTCCTGATTTTGAACTAAGCAAAGTTTTCTTGCTCTGTTCTGACGACTGCCTCCTGGTCTAAGTATAGGTTTCATATAAGCACAATCAAGGATTCTGGGATTCATTATCATACTACATTTTGGACTGTTTCATTGTGTTATTAGTGATATTGCTAGATAATTGCCACACTCTGCCGTGTCACTTTTTTTTTTTTTTGAATGGGAATAAATATGTATCTCTTCCATTCAGTTGGCTAAGTAGTTGTCCTCCAGATTTCTTGGTGAGCATATGTAGGGCGGCATCTGTTTGTTGAAATACATCAATTGGTATTCCACCAATTCCTGGGGCTTTATTTTTTGCCAAGTCCTTCAGAGCAGCCTGCACTTCCTTCTTCATCACAGCTGCCTCTTGATCAAATGATGTTTCTTGAAATTCTCCTGCATCTGCCAATTCTTTTTGGTACAATGACTCTGTATACTTCTTCCATAGTCTTTAAATGCTTCTTGAAACATTAAATATTCTGCCCATACCATCCTTAGGTATTGCAACTTGAATTTATTCTTTAGTTCTTTCAGATTAAGAAATGCTGAGTGAGTTCAGCCCTTTTGATTTTCCGACTCTAGCTCCTTGCACATTTCATTATATTTTGGCTTGTCTTTCTGAGTGGCCCTTTGAAATCTTCTATTCAGCTTATTAACTTCTTGATTTCTTCCCTTTGCTTTCCCATACATCAGAATGGGAAAATTTAGTATCGTAAAAATGGCATTCCTACCAAAAAGCAATCTATATGTTCAAAGCAATCCCAATCCCAATCCCAATCCAGATACCAGGTTCATTTTTCAAGGACATTGAAAGGGAAATTGCCATGTTTCTTTGGATAGGAAAGAGACCTCAAACAAGCAAAGCACTTCTGATACACAAAAATGAAGTGGGAGGTGTAGCGCTCCCTGACCTCAAGACCTGCTACGCAGTGATCATAACCAAAACAGCAAGATACTGGTATAATGACAGGCACATAGACCAATGGAACAGAATTGAGAACCTGGAAATAGACTCAGCTATTTATGGTCAACTGATATTCAACAAGGAAATAAAACCTATCAAATGGGGAAATTACAACCTTTCAACAAATAGTGCTGGCAAAACTGGTCTGATGCCTGCACGCCATACACAAAAATAAACTCATGGTGGATCAGAGACCTGGGAGTAAAGCCCCAAACCATAAAGTTCATCAGGGACAAACTGGGGTCAAGTTTAGATAGCCTAGCCTATGGTATAAAGAGACTGCCAAATACAGCCAGAAATGCACTATCTGGAGAGGATAAAACTGATGAATGAGACTTTCTAAAGATTAAATCCCTGTGCATATCAAAAGCTTTTTCCAATAGAGTACAAAGAAAACCTACTGACTGGGGAAAAACATTTGGCAATACCATCTCTGACAAGGGTCTCATATCAAAAGTTTACAGCATCGTACAGGGTCTCCACAAGAAAAAGACTGATAATGCAATTACAAAAGGGGCAAAAAATATGGAAAGAATTTTCACAGAAGAAATTCAGATAGCCGAGATATGACGAAATGCTCAGAATAACTGGAAATAATAGAGAAGAAAATCAAAACCACAGTGAAATACCATCTCACTCCAGTAGCTGTGGCAAGTTTAACAGGACAGCAAGTAATAAATGTTGGCGAGGGTGTGGTGAGATAGGAACTCTTATACACTGCTGATGGGGTTGCAAGCACTCTAGAAAGCAGTTTGGCATTTCCTCAAAAAGCTGAACACAGAAATTACATAAGATCCAGCTATACCACTGCTTGGACTATATCCCAAAAGAATAAGAACTGAGGCACAGAGACTTGTACACCCATGTTCATAGCAGTGTTATTATTCACTATCACAAGAACATGGAAAGGGCCCAAATGTCCAACCAAAATCAAACAGATTGAGAAATTATAGTACTTGCAATCAATGCAATACTACACAGCATGCAGGAACAATGATTTTACAAATCACTCCCTAACTTAGGAGGGACCAGAGAGCATTATGCTAAGTAAACTAACTCAGACCCATAAGGACAAATCCTGTATAGGATCATTATTGTAGAAAAAGTATGAACATCGGGGTGGGGGGGTGGACAAAAGAGGTGGTGGGGGTAGGGTGGGTAATCATAGGGTCACACAATTCAATGGGTGAAGGGAGAAAGAAAATCTGGTATGAAAAACAATGCATACAAACTTTGTAAGTAAACCAGGATAGAATAAAAATTATATTAAATTTTAAAAATAATGGCCCTTTTAAAATAAAATAAAGTAAAAGAACCACTTCTATGGAAACCCAGATGATATACTTACTAGGCAAAAAACTTTAAAATGACAATATTACTTCTCCCGAGTGCTAAAAAGCAACAATATCAGTCTAGAGACTTGGGTTCTCCTGATCCAGGCCATAGTCTTCACAGTTACTTGCTATGCATCAGAGAGCTGGACCATGACTAAGGATGGTAGAAGGAGAATTGATGCCTTTGGGTTGTGGTGCTGAAGAGAAGAGTCTTGAACATACCATGGACTATCAAGAGAACAAATAATTCTGTCTTGGAGAGGATGAAACCAAGTTTCTCCTTGGAGGCTAGGATTTTGAAGCTCCACCTCATATACTTTGGTCACGTGGCCAGGAGGGACTGGTCCTTGGGTAATGGTCTTGGAAGGGTGGAGGAAGATGCAGGAGAGGAAGACTCCAAATGAGATGGATTGATAAGATAACTGGTGCAATAGGGGTAGGTGGGTTGGAGTCAGTGAGAGTGGCTCAGGATAGGGCAGAGCATCTGGTGGCTTCAAACCACTTACTTTCAGGATTGCAGTGCAATGTATATGTGTGTGTGCGTGCACACACACACACAGTACACACACACACACACACACACACACACACACACTCTGCTTTGTGGGAGAAGAAAAAGCAATCTCCTCCCATGTGATTAACTGCCTCTGAAAATGCACCAGAAGATCAGTTCTGACTCAACAGTACACAACAACCACCACCATATATATCTTACCCTTTAAATAATTTCTTTTTTAACCTTTCCTTTGGTCCATGATTAATCTTGATTTCTGTGACAATAATTAATAATTATTAATTAAAATGTAATTAATAATGAATCTTGATTTCTGTGAATTACTGTCGTGACATATTAATTTATAATATGCTTATTTGTTGGCCAAAAAATAACAAGTTTTATGATTAGAGTAGCTTTTATTATATATTTAAAGCTCACAGATAATTAGAAAAAAATAATAATTTAACTGTATATGGAAACTGCTTCCAAAAGGAGAGATTGGTATTATGAATGAAAAGTCCTCCTAAAAGCATTTATTATATTCAGCACCAAATTATATTAATTATAAAGACAATAATTTCTAATATATTAAGTTATTATGTTTTTGCATAATTATACTTTTCTCTGCAATATCATTACTGTGTTTCTTTTAACTGGGTTTTAGAATTTTATGACATGTGCATAAATACCAACTAATGCAGTGTTTTGGACCTTTATTATTTAGGTTTGTGTAATAAGACGTCAATGATGTTATCACTCCAGATTTTGAAAGTTTTTGTTTAAATATAAAAACAAGGTTAAGTTTTTACTAATGTCCATATTCTGATTATTAAAAGTAATTAATGATAATTTCAGCAAGCAGAGTCGTGTCATCTGCATAATGCAGATTGTTGATAAATCGTCCACCAGTCTTGACCCCACATTTCTCCTCATAGAGCCCAGCCTCCCGGATAATCTGTTCTGCATATAGGTTGAAAAGGTATGGAGATAGGATGCATCTCTGGCGTACGCCCTTCCCAATTTTGAATCATGCAGTGTTCCCTTGCTCTGTTAAGTGACTGGGATAATCGGGATGGGAGTGTCAGAGACAGTGCGATTGGCAGAGGACAGAGTTTAGGCTGTTGTACATAGGGTCACTATGAGTCGCAAGCGACTCGACGGCACATAACAACAACAACAATGATAATTTAAAAATTACAGACTGTAACTATTGCTAGCATTAGCTCTTTAACTATAAAAATGTTAAAGAGATTATTCATTAAAATGCAGTACAGAATAATAAAAATGAAGAGTTTAAAAAGAGTTTAATGCTTACATGTACGCTATCAAAGATGTGTTGCACTGGGAAATCTGTGGCCAAAGCCGTCTCCAAAGTGCTGAAGAGAAAAGAGGTCAGTTTAAAGACCTAAGGTGTACCTGATCTGAACCATGATATTTTCATTTGCTTTCTGTGTATCCGAAAGTTGAATAATAAATAAGACATATTGATGAAGAGTTGATGTCTTTGAATTGTGATACTGGAGAAGAGTATTGATTATTCCATCAATTACCAAAAGAACATAGAAATTTGTCCTGGATGAAGCACAACCGCTCCTTAAAGGCAAGGCTGATGGGACTTTGTCTCATATACTTTGGGAATATTTTCAAAAGAGGCCTTGAAAAAGGCATGGTGCTGGGAAAGGTCAAAGGTATAAGGTCAGCTAAAGTGAGGATGACCCTCAATGAGCTGGCCTGATAAAGTGACTAACACAATGTGCTTGAGCATGACAGAGGTTGTGAGAATGGCACAGGATAGGGCCTGGTTCAGATATGTTGTTCATGGCGTCACTGTGAGTCTTCAACTTGAACATAACATTTGGCCAATTCATTTTCAGTAAACTAAATGACAGTTAAAAAGAAGAAAATTTGTTAACAGCATTTCTTGATGTCCAATTTGATATCAGCAGTAGAAACAATACTGGACATACTTTGGGCATGCTGTTAGGAGGGGATATTCCTTGGAAAGGGACATCATGCTTGGAAAGGTAGAGAAGAGGGGGGCAGTGAGAGAGAGGAAGACCTTCATCAAGGCGGATGGGCAGTGACTGCAGCAAGGGGCTCTTGCACGTCAGAGATGGTGAGGATGGTGCCAGACAGGGTTCAGATCTGTGGTTCATGGGTTCGTTTACAACCACATGAAGTGTTCAGAAGAAATGAGCCATTTACTTACCTGTCATATGTGCATGGAAAATCTCAGAAAGCACAAAAGAGTATTTACTATTAGCTGAATTAACAGAAACTTTTTTAACTTCCTAAAATTAATAAAATTTCGTTTATATCGAACATCTAGAATAAGCACAAAAAGTGAAAACCTATTACATTTTTTTTGTGATTTAAAAAAATAGGGACAATAATAGATTAAACATTTATGAAATTGTTTTTTCTTTTAGCAAAGTTATGCAAATTCACTGCATATGTTCTGCTTCTTTTTATTTTTAAAAATTGTTTTTTTAAAAAAGCAAATCCTATATTTAAGGTCTGGATTTGGAAGCTACTATGGAACAATAGGTGGCCCCCTCCCATTCTTCAGTGCACAGTTAACACCCAAAGAAAAATACCAGCCACCTGGGAAGAACTTATACACGAGCCCAGGAAAGAAAGGAACTGGATACGGGTAAGAGATCTTCATAGCATTTGCTTTGAAGTTACAAAAAAAAAAAAAAAAACCAACAAGAAAAAGCTAAGTTCAAAGTTCCTGCGCCCTGAGTCACTCTTCCTGATTTTCCTTCCTTAGCTATGCAAATCTTACCATAGGTAAACAACCCGTACACTCTGATGATTTCTACGATGAAGCAAAACTATCACGGAAGGTAAAAGAGTCTCTTTTGAAATTTCCACCCCTCAGAGAATTCACGTGTAATATCTTGTTTGGTTCTGTATATTTGTAATATTCTAATGCTTTTAGGTTATGGTAATATTTGATTGTAGATTTCCACCTCTTGCTGTAGATTCCCCAAACCTTTCTATAGATAAACTTTTAACTCCTGCTACAGAGTACCATACCTGATTTGCTGTGTGCCCTCAAGCTGACTGATTCACTGCAGGTGTAGATGGCAGAGTAGCACTGCCCTATAGGTCTTCCAAGGCTGGATAATCTTTATACAGATTATACAGAGAGTTGATAGCTTGGTCCCTCCTGTGGAGTGGTGAGTGAGTTCAAACCACCTACCTTCCCATTGGCAGCCAAGTGCTTAACCAGTGCACCACTAGAACTCTTTCTTGAATCTTAGGTAGCAACTAATATTATAATGCAAAAATATATTATTTACTGTAATAGTGTGATGTTGGAGAAGAGCACTGAACATCCCATGGATGGCCAAGAGAATGAACTATATGTCTTGGAAAGGGTGCAGCCAGAGTTTTCTTTGGAGGCAAGAATGATGAGGCTTTGCCCCACATAATTTAGACATGTTGCTAGGAGGTGCTATTCCTTGGAGAAGGACATGAATTGGGAAGGGTGGAGGGTCGGCAAAGAAGAGAAAGACCCTCAACCAGGTGGATTGATACGGTAACTGCTGCAATGGGCCCCTTTAAGTCAGGAAGTATTAGGGTGGCACATGATAGAACAGGGTACAGATCTTTTGTTCATAGGGTCACTATGAGTCTTGGTCGACTTGACAGCACCTAAAAATAACATAACTCTGAACTCTGCTCTATCCTGAGCCTGTCTCACTCTCTCCAACACTCTTACCAATACCCCGTTACTGTGTCAATCCATCTCATCCAGCATCTTTCTCTCCAGCGCTGTCCTTTTGCCCTTCCAAGCATGATGTCCCTCTCCAAGGACTGGTCCTTCCTGCCTGGGAACATGCCCAAAGTATGTAGCTTCAAAATCCTTGCCTCCAAGGAGCAGCTCGGTTTCACCATCTCCAGGATAAACCTGTTCTCTTGGCCATCCATGGTATATTCAATATATTTCTCTAGCACCGCCACTCAAAGGCATCAGTTCTTCTTCTGTCACCTTTAGTCATTATCCAGCTCTCTGAGATGTGTATAAAAGTACAAACAAGGGGAGTGGGAAGGGAGATCACAGGATTGCAGAGTTTTGTGGGCAGAAGGAGAGGGTGAAGGAATTAGGAAAGATCCACTGAGGACCTGAAAAGATGGGGTAATAGTAGGCATAAATCAATGGTGATTGATTTTATAAAACATGATGTAAGGGAATGATCTTATGAAACACAATGTAAATAAAAGCATGTATGAAACATAATGTATGTGAATGAAACAATGTATATGAAATTTGTATGCAAAAGTAAAAAAAGTATTATAATGGAAAAATTAAGTATTTATTAGTCTTACAAGCTCTGTGAAGAAGAATGTGGCATCAAGATTAGAGGAAAACTCATCAATAACTTGTGTTATGCAGATGACACAATCTGCCTGCTGAAAGTGAGTAGGACTTGAAGCACTTGTTGTAGAAGATCAAAGGATACAGCCTTTAATAGGGATTGCATCTCAACATCAAGGAAACAAAAGTTATTATCACTAGACTAATAGGCAATATTATGATGGAGAAAAGACTGAAATTGTCAACAACTTCATCTTGGGTCCACAGTCACTTGGAAATGTAGTGCACTGAGTAAGTCTGCAGTCACAGACCTCTCCAAATTATTGAGGAGCAATACGTCTGATTGAGGAAATGATCTTTCTGATCACTTGCTATGTATCTGAGAGCTGAGCATTGAATAAGGATGACAGAAGAAGAATTCATGCCTTTGAGCTGTGTGTTGGAGAAGAGTATTGAATATTCCATGGACTGCCAAAGAAAAACAGTTATGTCTTAGAGAAAGTGCAACCAGAGTGCTCTTTGGAGACAAAGATGATAAATCTTCACTTCACATAGTTTGGGCATGTTGCTAGAAGGGGTGATTCCTTGGGATGGGATATGAAAGGCATGGGGTTGGCGAAAGAGAAGAAGACCCTGAACCATGTATATTAACACAGTGACTTCAGCAATGGGCTCTAGTGTGTCAGGAAGTGTGTGGATGACACAGGATAGGGTTTTGGTGGGTTGTAGTTGACAGAATCTAACAACAACAGTCTTATCAACCACTTTTGGGGGCAAGAGATTTGGCAGTCTGCTTCTTTAATGATTACAGCCTTGGAAAGCCTATGCAATAGTTCTGCTTCTTCCTACAGGGTCCCTATGAGTGGGGCACAACTCTAACATAGTAGATGAAAAGTGCTTTAAATATATCATTTAATCATCACAACATCATTGAGGGGGGGCAATATTATCATCTTCATTTACAGTTGAAGAACAAGTGACTCTAAAGCAGAAAGTACCTTCCCCTGGTCCCTGAGACATGATTGAAAGAAGAAACTACTATATTTAACAGAGCACGGTTTAGGGCTGTTGTACATAGGGTCGCTATGAGTCGCAAACGAATTGACGGCACATAACAACAACAACAACAACATATATGATATATTAATATATACCAAAATGAATGTCAGAAGAGACTCTGAAAATTGCACTGGAGCGCAGAGAAGCCAAAGCACAGGGAAGAATTCAAGATACTAAAGAGTTGAATAGA